AGAGGATTATTTTGAAAATCAGATTCACAAACGGAGAGAAGAATAACCGAAATAATTTACGCAAAAGCCGCAGCCATTCCCAGTGAATGTGATCGGTTGCCACTGTGAGAAAGAAAAAAACCAACCAACAACGAACCGAGACAGATACAGAGAGAGATGAAATCATATTAACGAATTTTAATATTCATCATAAATAAAGAAACTGGCTGAATTAAATTATAATTTATTTGAATGTTTCACTTCGTGTTTTTTATGCATATTCAAACGATGAAAAAAAAAATCTTAATGACAATTTTTCGATGTTTGACTTTTTTATTCGATGTTTTGATACGTTTTCAGTCGAAAGACGATACATCTATATACATATAATTTAAAAAAAAAGAGAGAGAAAAAGAACGGAATCTAAATGTGAACAGAAAGAGTCTCAATCCACAGCCAATTAGAGAAAGATATGTCAACCAAACGAAGAAAAAAAATCTATCGATTCATGGTTCACACAAGACCAAGACCGAAAATAAATAAAGTGAGTTAATGACCACAAGCAGCGTTCAACGAAGAACAGGTAGGTAATTTTCATATTATCAACGCCAATAAATTAATTGAATTGAATGAAATAAGCGATTTAATAAATCTATGAATGTTGATGGCTCTTGTTAACCACATGACGATTGTATCCATTCTTCATCTCGTGTTTTGTTTGTTTTGCTACAGCAAGATGGAATATTTTGACATATATGCAGATGGGTAAATATTATATCACTTCTTTTTTTCTTCTTCTTCTCTCTTTCTCGCTCTGAGAGCAACCGTTTTATTCTCTCGATCGAAGATATGGTTGATTTAATGAATAGACTCCCTTTCAACTGTTGGATTTCATAGGCAAATGATTCAATTATGATAACTGAATATTGACGTTCCACATTCATATTCTTATTGAATTGCATCATATTTTTTTTCGCAAATCCATCCTTCCGTCTTTAAAAAAATCAATTGCATATCTAATTTATCGATTCCCAACGCGATAACAAACAAAATTTGTTTCACCGTTACTAATTTACAAACTAACAAGTGATTATTTGGTCATTATCAGTTCAAGATTGTGTTGTTGAATTCTGAATTGCAAATGATACATTTTGAAGCACACAAAAAGCACACGTTTATTTTTGCATTTGATAAGATAAAATAAGTGGGTAATTTTTTTTGCTATTCATTTCTTGCTGCTCGTCTTCGTTTTTTTTTCTTCAAAGCAAAAAGAAAATAGATTGAATTGAACGGGAACAGTTGAACACCAGCAAATGGAAATGTTTTAACAATCGAATGGGTTGGAAATAAACTGGTGGTTATTTCTGTTGTTGTTGTTCACATCACAACCAAAAAGAATTTGCTCAGTTGGTCACTTGGATACAATGGAAGCGGGCGGTTAGATGCGATAAATTTTATTCGATTGGAACAATGGATCTTCGCTCATGCATATTCAAATCGAATGTAAAGAGAGAAAAAAATTGAATGCGATAAAAATCCATCGCATTTTTTCATTCAGAGAGGCCTATATGCACATGGTAAATGATGTCATTTGCAGTGCCCTTGCACATTTTTTTTTCATTCTCTCTCTTTCTCCCATACTTAATTATTCCGTTTGAAATTGTCCAATCAAATTAACCGAAAAAAATGAATAATTTTTTTTTCTCTTCGAGCGTGCGCGTGCGTTTTTTTTCTCGCTCTCTTGATGTGGCTGTCGATTAAATCAAAATTAAATTGCATTTGAAATGTGAACGAGAAGAGTACAAACTGAATGAGAAAAAAAGCGCACATGTCATATTTTCGTTGACTTCAATTAGTTCGAAATAGCTGATTCGGTATGCATGATAAGAACGGAAAATTGTTTGTGTCCTCAATAATTATTGGCACATATCGCGATAGCTGTTGATTTCGTTTGTGTGTTTGTTTGGCTGATTTGTGGTGTACTGTGCACGTCGTTTGTGCGAAAACTCCGTTCGAAAAGCGAATGAATTGAAACGACTGGAAAAATTGAGCGTTTTTTTTTTCTATTCATTCGATGTTGTATTTCCTTCACATCGCGAACGCGCTCGTCCCAAGAGCTTGCAGTCATTAGCACAATTGATAGTATTTATAAGCAAAGTATACATTGTTTGGAGTAGAATGAGTAAATAGTTTGTTTTTTTTTTCTGCCGTTCTATTCGTTCTTCGCGCTCAACACAAAAATCGAAATGGACGCGCACAGTTGAACATGGCGCATGGCATAAATGACTTTAGTCAGCGGAATATTAATATTTGTACATATTTATTGCTGCGCTAATAATGGACATTAAATAGATGCATAAAAATTCAATTCATAAAAGTTTTGCTCCGCATGTGCCCAACGCCATTTGTATTTGCAATCATCCTTCCCTTTTTTGAGCGTGCTCGCAAACTCGGACCCGAGTTTGATGTTGTTGTTCTTTTTTTTCCTCTTTTTCTCGTTCAATTTGTGTATATAGAAAATTATTCATACTAATTTTTTTTGTAATTAGAGAAATAAACAACGAACCGCGAGCGAAATGCACTTCGTGATTGCCAGTTGATGTACGGTGGTGTTATACACTCACTCTCCGCCAAATAGCGTGTGATGAGCAATTTTGCGCGGGCGCGAACGTGTGCTCTTCCAATTGCAGTGTGAGAATATGAATATAATTATTGATATTCGATACACCGGACACTGTTTTATAGATACTATACCATCGTAGAGAGGGATCGAGAGAGTAGACACGGATAGCGAACAAGCGCGAGCGCGCATAAGCCAGCACACAAATTGCAATTCATTCGAATGCAACATCAAAAACCATTCCAACGAATGACGACAACGCAGAACAATGAACAACAATTGTTTCAACAATGTTCTCCTCTTCACCTTCTTCATGTGCCGTTTTTTATTTTGAATTCTGTTTTTGTTCGTATTTATTCTATAAATTATTAAATTATTATTAATTTCAAGGTAAATGAAGTGTACTTTTAGTACAGATAACAAACAACAGAGAGGAAAAAAAATGTGTTTTATGTTTGGTTTGTTGTGGTTTTTTGCGTGTATTTGCGTTCATTTTTTTTCGTTCGTTCGTTGGCGTATGTATTTATGAATACACCGTATTTTCGCGTTGATATGTTCGTTTGACCGTTCATTCTTTACGTTTCATTCAATTTCAGCGCGGTGCTGGCGCATTTTAAAATTTTTTAATTTATTCCACACAAATTATTATGAATGCAGTGTGTACAACTAGGTGCGAGAGTCTCGTGTACAGAACAAAAGTTGAACAACAAACAACGGAAAAAAAAATCGTATGAAATAAAAGACAAATGCATTCCCAACATTTGACGTTTTATTTTATTTTTCAATAGAGATAATTGAAGAAGATGCAATTCTGACAAATGAACTAATTTTCAGCTTGTTTTTTTTTTAATCATTAGTCTTGTGTTTTGAGTTTTTAAAATCCATTTTAAAATTCATAACTTCCTGCTCGCAAAAAAAGCCAATAACTTTTTTTATGGAGGTAAGACGAGAAACAATTCTGCAATGAAAACAACTGAAGTAATCAAAATTATGGTTTTACAGCTAATTGTTAGGTATCTATTGTTGTACTTGTTTCAATCATGTTTTTGCGTATGAAAACCATTGAAATGGTCATTGTGCGCGAGAAACACTTTTTAAACGCAACACATTGAACCTAGTTGAACTTTTGATTATTAAAACTTTATGTTCTTGAGATTTTACCGATTTCTTTGAAAAAAAAGGCGTTTGTAAACAAAACTTATGACTGTGCATAGTCGAAGCGAGATTGAACTTTGTTTATGGCTAAAACTAAGCGTTCTCACTCAAAAAATGTACATTTTCGAGCAAATCTCGAGCAGATTCGTTACATTTTAACTTCAAAGTTGAAATAACTACCAAAAAAGGCAACCATCGATGAACACTTCAGCATGTCTCAAACGGCAGTTCAATGTGCATTCAACACCACAATAATCATGCTCACACGCCCCTTAATCATTTCGCCTAATTTATTTATTTCTACCGTGTTCATTTCGTTTTTGTTCGTTCATCTTTAACAATAAAAACGCTTCTATCATTTGGAATAATGCCAAACCGAAGGCATATTGAAGGTGGCGATAAATCTTGAAAAAGTTCAACGAAAACAAAAACACACCGAATCACAGCCGCCAGTAGCTAAATTTTCCGCGTAACACATGTGCTTCAGACTTGGAAATTGTTTGAATCGATTTTCGACGGGATCGAAATTTGAAAGTGTAATCAAAGGCTATGTTAGAAGGATAGAGAGGAAACAGTGAATTCGATTGCTTCTGCTATTTGTTTACCGGTCGTTTTATGTTTCGGTGTTTTGGGCGAAAAATTCGAAAAGAATTTCTGGGCCAGTCTTCTGTGTTGATTAATTCATATGCTTTTGGTTATTGTAGGGCTTGTTTGCGACACACACACAAACATGTTTGGCATTTCATTCCACTGTTCGTTTTGTTGTGTTTTCCGTGTAGTCATTCCTTATTTCATTTACAAGAGGGGTTGTTCACCTTATTATGCGAAAGGCATACGGTATGGTTAGAACCGCTCTCTTTTTTTCCGTTGTTGATTTTCCGTACACAATAATAGTTTCGACGACGATTTATTGTCACGAAAGTTGAAAAATATATAATATGGTATATGTTATAATTTTGGAATTGAGTTTTATTGACATTTTGATGGTAGAGAAAGAAAAAACGATATAAAAATCCGGCTAACCGCCAACTATTTTATTAGGTTAGCATATTGCTCATTTGTTGACATACGACGATGATTTTGCCAACTGCTCATTTTATTGGGTTAACATATTTTTGGTGGGTTTGTTAGTTGTGGTACAGGAAAAATCGATTTTGGCTAATTTTTTATCGACCGAAATTCAAGGATTAAAATATGATTTGGTTACAAAAATTTCGGAAAATAAACTTTAGTGCAACTTACCAGTCTTCGTTTCGGTTTGATTAGCGGTCTATTTTGTCCGTTCATTTTGTAATACAGTCCACAGGCATTACACAAGTAATGGCCAGTACCGTCTCGTCGCCACAATGGCGTTGATGTTGCACCACAATTCACGCATTCTCTACCCTCTGCGAAATAGAACGAGAAAAGAAAACAGCATATCCATATTAAATAGAGTGCACAGTAGTGGCTCACCTATTTCGCCAGTGACCGAGAGAGAGAGATAGAGTGAATGAATCAAAGCAAAAACCTTCTGGTTTTGCCAAAAACTTTGATTCGGAAGTAAAATCATGTAGTCAAATAATTCCATCATTAAAATATTGTACACGAGCCAAACGAACTACTTGGCTTTTTTTTCTCTCGCACTTTGCTAAATATCCTTTATCGCGACCGTCAACTACATGATTTTATTTCCTGTATTAATTACATAATCATATCGATACACTGCAAATTACTTATACTATTTAGAAAAAAAACCATTTTATGTGCACTATTTATGTTAATTTTACAATCATTCATTATTGTTATTATGGAATGTATTTTTTTCCTTCTTTTTCTCCTTTTTTTTCCTTTGTCGATTTAAATTTAATAATGGAAATTTATGTAAACTAGCTCAATCATTTATCAAAAGCGCACACATACAAAGCACAACAGAAACAAAACACACAAAAAAAACATTGCACATTTTATCACGCAATGTGTAAGTAAGAGAGGCTACGAGTGCGCTTTTTCAATACATACCAACCAAAGTTTTATGCCTGTCAATGAATTTTCGATGCAAAATGAAAAGCAAAGTGCGTCTTTTGTTTTTATTCAAATCCAATTTTCATTCATTCTGCGCTGCAATTTTTGCATCAATGAACGGATTCGAATGAAGCGTTTTTTTTAAAACTCGAAACCGTCGTGAATAGATAGGCCTAGAGCGCATTTTTCTGAGAAGTGCACTTTTATGATGAAACATGTTTTGTGATTGGAATATTCGGTTTGGTAAATGAATTCGGTTTAGACGAACACTTTTTTTTGTGGATAAGAGAGAAATTGAATAAAGTGCGTATAATGTAATGTGTTGTGTTTTTGGTGTGTGTCACAAAATATTACAGTTACGAAACCATCTAATGTGCGTTAAACATTTATCGTTGTGGACATAGAGTTTTGGATAGACGAGAACGGCTCTAGGTCAAGCTTGTGCCGTACCGGTACAATTGCACGCATTTGTACGCCGATGCACGAACACCCGAAATGTTTGTCGTAGCCGAGGCACATTAATTTTTGTTTTCTTCTCTCTTTCTATTTCGTTGTACCGAATGGGGAAAATTACGACCTCAGATCATTAAAACGCTGATTTATTAGCAGCCAGAACGGTTTTTTTATGGCTGTTTGTTACCTTTTTCCTTATGCTTTCTTCTACACTAAATAGTTTTTATTTTTCGTTCGTTCGTTTTTTTTTGGTTTCAATTTTTCGAATTTCTTCGCCGAGAGGAGGTGAAATTGTGATTTTGTCATGTTCAATTCAAACAGACATTTCATATATTTATTTGTTTAACGAAGAGTTTTTTCTCTTTCGTTCCTTTTTTCGTTAATTTCACATTAATATTATGTTAGAGTTTATGGTTGCCCATGTTGTTCGATTTTTGGTGGACAAAAATCATGGCATTGCAATGAATGTGTGTGTGTGTGTGTATGTGGAAATTGATAAATTTTAGTCGTTCGAAAATGTTGGAGACATACACAGAAAAACGAATACCTGGCGTCTGGCCGACAGATGAGAAGAAAGTGAACGAATAAATGACAAAGACAAAAACGAACATTACGCTTCTTTGCTACTGAATGGATTCCCACAAATAAATTTCCCATTTCTATGTGATATCATCCATTTATTCACAATTTGTAGCTTTGGTTTCGGTGGAAAAAGAAATAATTTGATTTGGTTTCAAAAGAACGAAACCATTTTTTGTTTTTGTTTTTCAGCTTAAATTAATTTTTTAATGTACGAATTAAGTTTTTCGGTTGACCAATCAACAACGGTGATTTAATGCATTCTCGGAATGTGTCTAGCGTCAATATTTATTATTCTCGGAATATTCCATCATTCATGGTTGCAATTGCGTATATCATTTGACCAAATTGTATTAATTGTTGTCGGATGATGATCCGAATTGACAGAGCAACAAGGTACGCGAGAGTCAAAACAATGAGTTCAACTTTCCGCATGGAACTGGCCAAGCTGAACATTTTTCTATCCAAACAAAACAGAATAATTCTCTACCGATGAGAAAGTCGCTTGGAAATCCATTGACATTTATTTCAACTAAAAGCTAATTATCTAAATTGGAGCTTTTTCACGCACAATTATTTACAATAAACAGAAAAAAATGCTTCTCTCTCGTCCATCATATAGCGTTTGACGATTTTGACAGCAGTCGCGCGACGACGAGTCAAATCAAAGATAATTTCTCTTTTCCGTGGTTTGTCATTCATCATCGTTTGTAATTTATTTGATGTCGTAGTGCACGGCGAACGGCTCGACATCGAGTAATGAGCCGAAACAAATAGAATTTATTCAACTAATTCAAACGCAAATACTGAAATGTACGGGGGGGGGGTAAGTTCTTCTGTTGAATGGAAAAAACGAGTCCAAACCTTTGTGATGAGCATCAAGCTGTAGATTCAAAATGATTAAATTTTTGCTCACATTTTCAAATGGAGGAAAATGTCTGGTGAAAAATCGTGCGAGTTTTCGTCGTGGTGGTGATCAAGAAACACAACGACAACAACGACAACGAAAGACACGCTTAGTGAGTACAACGAAAAAGGCAACAGAAAATTCAATCAAATACAAAAATGAAACGCAAGAGAATGAAACTAAAAAATTCAACGAAAAACAAAATGTTTATAAATTGATTTACTGATGAATATTGTTCAACTACTGATTGCAGTCCATTAAAACAACGCTATGAATGAATAGGTTATTAAAATTGACTGAAATGTAATTAAAATTTACCACCGATTCAGACAAATGACTGATTGTCGGTCATCGATAAGTGTTTTTTTTTCCTTCAAATTTGTGACGCGAGCGTTCACAAATGCGGTGTGGATTCAAATTGAGATGTGTACATTTCTGCCACTGTCGCGCTTTGTTTTGGCTTCGGACATGGCATAATTACGCACATTTTCATTGGATTGCAGACGCATGCATACATGTCACATCGAAAAATTGTTTGCATCGCATGCAATATACCATATGAAATGGCGAAACAACAGACGAATATTTTAATTGCCGCACGTTCTTTCTGTCTTTGGAATTGAAGAAACTTTGCATCTAAATTGGCACAAGTCGAAATTCCTTAAAACTTTTTCGAATGAGCGAATCGAATCGAAGAGACGAAAAACGAGGAATTAATAACAAAATAGCTGTAAAATATCTCGTACTGAATTGTTCTTTTGCATGTAGAAAATTTGAATTTTATTTAACGAGAGCGAGAGAGAGAGAGAGTGCGCAAATGGAATATTGTTCTGGAATCGATGTTGGGTATATTCTCATTGATTTTTCTCTTTCTCTCTCGTTCGGCCAATTTCGCATGTGAAACAAAGGCAATAAATTTAAACACTGTGAGCAACCGAATCGAAAAGCAGCCAATAACGATGAACTACCAAGTTACAACTGTGGTCGAAGCCGAAATGCTATTGAAAAGCATAAACACTAGCCAATTCACATGGATGAAAAAGGCAGAAAAACGACGACGATGACGTCGACAACAACAACAGCGATCGTTTTACAGAAGAAAACAGGTAAAACATTAAATTTTTGGTGCCCTAACAACAATATTGTGGCAAAGTGATCATTTATTCGTTCTTTTTTTACTTCGTCTTTTGCTTCTTTTCTTGTCTTTTCGTCGTTGGTGTTTTGTTTCAGACAATGTATAAAATTAAAAACGATCTTCTTCCATCGGCTCTCGTCTCTATTTCTCTCTCTCCCTGTGGATGCTGACTCAAAGTTTTCGTGTCCTCTATAGAACAAAACAGTGCCTGACTTTTTATTCGACGGTAATTTCGTTCGAATTTGACCATATGATGATCTGAGCTAACTTCGTTAGTCACCTCCTGTCAACGAATCAAATATTAGAGAATGGATGGAACAGAAGAGTTCTAGTCAAGAAACGTCAATAAACAAACTGGCGCGTAGCACAAGTTTCAAACACTTTATGTGACGAATGTACACAGAGAGAGAGAGAGAGTGAAGAACGCAGCGGTCACAGGACAGACTCGTAGAAAATAATACGAGAAAAACCTTAATGACATTTACGTTATTTATTTATTTCATTTGTTCTTCTCACGCATACACACACAAGACGCCATGGCACTCATTCGCCCAAAAACGACGTTCGTCTTCTCTTTTTTTTACTAAGAATTTCACGAAACAAACTGTCACCCGATTAAAAAATATGTCCTCGATTTAGGCATTAAATTTTCCAAGTTTTCATTCCCTTTTTGTTGTTTTATTTCGAATTCGGACCGCTTTCAGAAGAATTACACACAGAGTTTGGTTCCTTCTTTGTATCTGTTGTTGTTGTTTTATTGTGACGTATCGATACAAATGCTCGTACACAAACGATTAAAAAGGAGAGGGACACAGAGAGAGTTTTGTTTTTAGCAAAAGTAGTGAATTTGATGCTGTTTTTTTTTATTATTTTCGGGTTTGTTTCGGGCTGGTTTATGGCGTGGTTGTTCGCTCTATTCTTGCGCAACAAATGAATATACCTGTTCTAATATGTGACGACGAGAGTGGAACGGCGAACGAAAATGAAATTGAAAAAAACAATCAGGCCATAAATTCATTCATTGGGCTCTGTTCAGTAGTCGTTAAGTATTTGCGGCGCTTCATTTTGTATGCGCAACAACAACAACAACAACGACCGAGCGATGCGTGTGTGCGCAGGTGTATTCTTCAAACAAACGAATTTTCCAAAGTTCGAATTTGAAGTGAATGCGTTAATAAATTGTCAATGCTTCATTTTTTGTACACAGCAATTTGATTCTGTCGTTACAATTGCCTGTTTTGGATGTTTTCAGTTGAATTTGGATCCTTATTACACATTCAAAGGCGATAGACATTTGTCTATGAATGCTAGAGTGCAAAAATATTGATAGCACATCACAGTTGCTACTAATTGCTATGAAGCAAAGCAGACAAAAAAAAGACGTTCCACATCCACTTAAATATTGTGTGCAATTATTTGCCGTAAGAATAGCTGTTATAAACTGTTGTGCGGTAACATGCGGTTCGATATGAATCTGCATTGAATAGATCACCTGGATCAGCAGCCGATATCAGATTCGATAAAAATCGATGTGTGTTTGCCTGTGAAAAATCGAACGCGCGCAAACATCGATATATTTTATGAATTATTTGATAATTTGTTCAGTTGCACTTAAAACTCCACGCTCCATTCCCGATACCATTCCCGTGTTTAGCATCTACCTTTTTCATGTGGCATTGAAGATTGTGAATTGTTGTATTATTTTCTGCACATGATTTCTTTTTGTTGTTGTTGTATATTCTCGTTGTCGTCGTCGTCGTCGTCGTTGTCGTTGCTCGTTGCTCGTTATAGCCGCTGTGGGAATTTGTCTCTGGCAAAGAGATGCGAGAGTCTTTTGTTTTGCACGGACGAACGGAACAATGTATTACACATTGCTGCGAAGACAATGTGGCCAGGGCGAGTATAACGAATACCCATAAAAATATGAATAAAATTGAGAACAATTACGAATGCGCCCGTATTATTTAATTAACATTGGCATAGAGAGCGAGAGAACAATGCACGATGTGCAGATATTTTGCTCTGCTTTGGCCCGAGTGAATGGTAATGATCGATTCGTTCGTTCCTTCGAAAACCCCAGCGCACAATTGGGAACATCGATACGTATTTGTGCAAGCTTAGCACAAATATGATTACAGTCATTTCTGTGGAAAAGAGCAGAGACACACACACACACATGGCAAAGCACGCGAACTCCGTTCGTTCCGTTGGCAAACGTTTGGCACACCAAAATATATGTGAGCACTGCACATATAGATACCACGTTGATTTTCTTCTTTTTGTTCAAAGTCACGTTTTTCGCTTTCCTTTTTTTTTACTTCTCGTCGTTGTTCTTTTTTTTCCTCTGCTGCACAAGTATCAAAATTTATATGCAAACAGTTCTTGGGTTCTGTGTTCTGATGTTGGAGCTGAGTTGTTGTTGGCTGTTTTCTTTATTAATAATTGTGTTACAACCGTGTACAAGAAGAAAACACATAACTGAAAGGGTCTGAAGGACTTACAGCGAACTAAGGAGAGAGCACAGTGTTGTTGTTGTTGTGCGAAGATGTCACTGTGCCAATTAATTGTTTGGTCTTTTTCTGTATTTCGCTTTAATTATATTGCAGCCTAAATTGACTTGAAAGTGGTATGATTCGATCGCGCACAGCGCACACACAACGATATCCTCCCGATATTACAGACGACAACGACAGATAACTGACGATGTTGCATAGATGATTTGGGGGGAGGGAGCGAAAAGAAAAGACGCAGTTGCGATTCGAAATGAATTTATTAATTGGCTATAAAATTCACACGAATTGTTGGTACATGTGTCACCACGTATGAGAATTTGTGCGTGCTGGCAGCCAAGAACCTTTCATCGACTTCGTATTGCCAACGATAAGAGAGGAAAAAAACACACCAGCAACAACAACAGCAAAACAGACACTCCATTAACCGAGAACACCGAAAAAAAGAGAGAACCATAATCACTGAACATATGTAGCACTCTTGTAACGGTTTTGTAAATATTTTGTGTTCGTTGTTGTTTAGATCGTGCTCAAGATGGATTTCGCGCGTGTGGAACGAAGAGGAAAAACTGAGCGAATAAACGCTATTAAGTGGTTCACCTTCGATATTTAACGAAAAAAATAAATACAGCAGCCGCAGCCGAGAACATGCACAGTGAGAAAATCATTGTTTGCTACACTGTTTTGCTCGGAGATTTTGCTGGAGTTTTTTTTTTCTTAGAGGATTCTACAACTGTTTTTGAAGGAGCTCAAGACTTATCAATCCATACGTGAAAGGAGAGCGAAATGCACCTATCAAATCGGTAACAAATGCCGGGCATGAGCCAGACAATCAACAATTTTGACGTAAATTGTTAAATTATAAGTTGTGCCGCATTCTCTAAATACACAATGATTCCACAAAAAATTTGTGGTTTCTTTTTTTTCAATTATTTTCTTCCTTTGTTGAACGAATTTTCCAAACAGAACCACCACCAATATAATTATATGGCGCATCGTGTCGATTTAGGTAATTGGTATTGATTAAGACAAACAATCGATGCGAGCCAGATGAACATAATTATCAGCGCTTATTATTCAGTTCATAAATGTTTTACTTTCATTCGGTTTCTTCGTTGTTATTAAATTGAATGATTCTGTCTTTTTCTCTTTCGGGCACACATTCCGTCCGTGCGCTTTGGCTGAATCAAACAATCTTTATTAATTGTGTGTGTATATCGAAATTGATGCAATCAATTATGTTGTTCCCCTGCCGATTGTTTGCTAATTCGTTTAGTGTTTTTTTTTTGGGTGGAAAAGAGTGAAACATTTGAAGTTTGTGCCTTTTTTATATTTGAAGAGTGATGATTAAAATAAAAGCCACAAATGTGCAGTGAACGGAAGAAAAAAACACATCAAAAATCAATTGTTCTATGGTAGAAAAATAATGGCGTTTCTAAACTGAAAACACTTGAAAAATTAGAACGGCTGAAAGTTTCAGTTTAGTGCTATTATTTAACTGGTTTATGGTGAGCAAAATTGGATTGCAGTGGCGTCTACCAACAAAATTACGATGCGACATTTAGCATTACGAAAAAACAAATCACGATACGTTATATCAACGAACATTCATCAACAACAGATCAAAGAATAACACGCACACACTTCAAGGTGTATTATGTATGTACGGATGAGTAAATACACAAACATTGCAGCACAGAGAAACATAGAGAGAGAGAGAGAGAGAGAAAGAGTGGTGAATATTAGTGGTGGCACAACGGTGGATTAGGTGCTCTAATATTGAACTGTTTGCATATTCGTTATGAGTGTGTGTATGTGTCGTTCTATTTGCTCATTACATCAACAACAAATTGCATATACAATCAATGAGTCAGTGAAATTAGAATAGCGCAAAAATAAACAGAAACAAAAGAACAGAAATGAACCGAACAAAAATGCATTAATCACATAAAACTAATAATAATAAATACAAACACTTAGAACGAAAGGAGAAAGTTGACATAAACACAAAATAAACAATAATGATAAATTGTAAAAATAACAGAAATAAAATGGGAAAATCCCCACAAACCGTGTCTAACTTGGATTTGTAGTTTTTTCTCTGTGTTGATGTTATTGAATTGATTTTTTCTTCTAAAACATACTGACAACGGTTTTGAGGTCAAAACAATTTTCTATGTTGGATTGTTTTGGTCTATTTTTGCTTCTTCCTTTTTCATATTACCGAAAAGAGTCGATCCATAGAACAATTTCAAGAGGGTGAAACATGTTGTCAGTATGTATTTAAAGAAAAATCTAAACGAAAAAACGTTTCTTTCTCACCAGCACTTGTCCGTGGTTTGGTCCGTTGTGGTTTATTGCCGGCCGACGATGATGAAGACAGTGACGACGAATGATGATGATGATGGTGGGAATGAAGTGGTGGACTTAAATTGCTTCGCATATTACCACCAATATTTGTACCACCTAGGCCACTATTACTGGGCGCATTGCCACCACTGTGAAATGACCCAGTTGCTGTGGCCACATTATTCGATGGATGATAGCTTTGATAGCTACTCTCGTAGCCGCTGCCACTATTTCCATACACACTTGGTGTATTATCGAAAAGTCCACCGTTTAAGGAACTACTTTGATTACTACTACTATTCGTATTATTGTTATTATTGCTATTCGAACTGTTATTGTTATTGGTATTGCCACTTGACGATGATGTCGTACCTTCACGTTGTTTCGGCGCTGACGATTGACTTGTACCATTTTGCTGTATCGACGGTTTTATGTCTAACGACGAACAATTGTCAGTTGATAATGAGGTAGTTGACGATGCTTGAGCCTGGTGCATAAATGCATTTACGGCAGCCTTAATGGTTGAGGTTTTACAAGAAAAAAGAAGAGAATGGAAACGGAATCTATTTAGTAAATGGAAAACACAGGAAGATTTGTTTTCGGAGAAAAGTTTTTTTTCGACTTTATCTAGTAGATTTTTCAAATTCAAAGGAAAAACATTCAAAATTAAACATAAAAAAATTAGAATATAATTAGAAATGTACGCACTTGATATTCGGAAGGTCCTGTTTGTACTGAATCAGGTGTTGAATCTTTTGGTGGTGTTGGAGGAAACGAAAATAGATGTTGGCCGGTTTGATGGCTTTGTACTACTTGACCAACTTTATCCTGTGGCTCTTGTGGACAAGCAAATGGGCTACCCCATGGACTGCCAGGCGCTAGTGATTTTGGTTCGCTTAGCCACGGATGCAATGGCGCATGGAAATGCGGCCTACAAATTTGTTGTGTACTGTGCGACGATGACATTCGTGAAGCTGCAATTAAAAGAAGGGAGAGAAAATGTTAAAAACAAATTTGAATAGAAATCGGTAAAAAATGCCTTTTGTTCAAATAGATTCGAATTCATTGATGATGAAACGAGAGAGAAAAAGAGATAAACTAGAAGTCATTTGAGATGGTAAGTAATATCATCGAAAGGAGAGACAATAAAAATTTCCATCCATATGTCTTATGGGCATTAACACACGATGTGTGCCGGCAATAACACAACACTTTACATTAATTTTAATCCATATAATTATTTTATGTGCAATAAGGAAAGGTGCGCACAGTGTGTATTTTGTTCCATCACAACACACGGACACATGGACACACCGACAATGAATGAAGCACAGAGACGAGACTATTTTAACATAATAATGCACTTCCATAATTTATTCATTGTCCATATGGAAAATAAATAATGATCGCTAAAATGGTATTATATATGAATGGGCAAGCGGAATAATGAAACGTAATTCTGTTTTTAAATGAAGTGCCTCTGAGAAAATTTTTCAGTAAAAAAGCCCCACAAAAATATTGTCTGAATAAGATTTTCATACAAATTTTTATCAGACAATATTTTTGTGGGGCTTTTTTACTGAAAAATTTTCTCAGAGGCACTTCATTTGAAAACAGAATTACGTTTCATTATTCCGCTTGCCCATTCATATGGAGTGCAGCACTCTTTTGAAGCAAAGCAAAGCAAAGCCAATGCTCATGTTGTACTTGCTCGTAGTGCTGACGGAACGTTTTACACACCGGTTATTATCATAATAAATACACACATACACACATACTGGAGAGCAATCCAAAAGAATTTGCTAAACACTCATCGAACATCGAGCATCGATCGCGTCCATGGAATGTGTATGTGTGAGTGGACTCAAAACGTTGTAACTCTTTGGCGTGAGTAAGTAGTTACGATTACTTTATTGTCCCGCAAAACTTTCAATATCCAGCAACAATATGTTGCAATGTGTGCGCCGCGGTTCAAATGAGGAGATGCAGTGACCGCAATTCAGCATCTTGTCGAATTTTTCTTCTTTGATATCGCATTTTTTTTCATTAAGTGTCTCGAGGCGATTGTGATAAAACAACGGTTTGGGCATAATGTCAGTAATAATATATATGACTAACACCACTTATTATTGCTATTATTCACCATCCTCTTGTCCAGCAAACTCTTTTTTTTGCGATAGAGTGGCGAACAATAAAAAAAATGCCATCATCCGTTTGCACCGACATTGTCACAATTAAAGCAAATCATGTACCGAAGAGAAGAAGAAAAAAAAAGTTATATGCTGATCGAAAAGTGTGTACTTTTCGTTTCATGGTCGAGTGTCGGCAGTAAATGGAGTGTCAGTTATTTGAAATGGCGATAGAAATGCTCGAAATGAAATATAATAACAATAATAAGTAGGCACAGCAATAGCAACAACACAGAAAACACTACCAGAGGAGAAAATCGCCATAAATATAATGCATTCGACATTCTTAAGTAATGCCATTGTGCACCTTCTTTCGCTCTATGAAGAATGCAATGTATTCCCAATCCTGTACATATAATTTTCTTTCACTGTTTTATTGGCAGCCAAGGATAAATACATAGAGCACATATTTCTTTTATCGAAAGATTGGAACAAATCGCGGTTAAAATACGGTTCTGTTGTCGTTCAGCACAAAGTACCACAGAGACGGCATTTTAACCGAGAGGTGATTCTTTGCTTTGGCTCATACATCACAAATTGTCTTCGGGCCTTCTTAGTTTTTATCGCAAAAGTGGATACGGATACGCTTGACTGTGTCGTACTGAAACCACCATATAAACATACCGAAAGCCAAGTTATGACAACACAAAAATCATTAATCATGCCACTCACAAAATTTGCCGTGATTTTTGCATCAGGAAAAAAAATCAATCATCTTCATAAAAGTTTGGAAAGAACGCAGAAAAATACACGGAAATTTTTTCTGGTAAATTGTTCTAAAATGATCAATTCAAATTCGAAAAAGAGTAAGGGTTTTGATTGGAAAAGGAATTTTGCCCAAAAAAAACTGTTTGTTCTGTTATTGCGTGACAAATACTCTTCTGAATCAATATTTCCGCAATCATTTTGATGCTGAATCGCTGCAATTACGCACACTATCTCGAAACGGCAGGTAGGAAAAAAGAAGCGTACAATTTCATATCGATCGATCGATCGGTAAATAATTGCTGCTGAATGAAATATTACATCATCTAAATCTACCGCGTGTATACGTGGATTATCAATGTCCTCTGGCGATTTCTGGTCTTTTTTTCTGCATTTTTCTTCTGTTTCATCTCTTCGTTTTTTTTTCCGTCTTTATCTGGTTCAACTCCTTACTCGCACCGTGCGGCATTGAATATCAATTGGGCTTTGAAGTGGCAAGGTGATGGAAGTGCATTTATTGGCCATACAGTTATGCATAAATCAAACAAAATGTGACAGTTTTACGTGTAAATTATAAATTATCAATCATCTGATATTACATCAAGTAATATAGTACGTTCGACATCGAACTACTTCAGATATTCCCTCTGTCTTTCACTGCTGTTATCTGGCAAACAATGAACGAGCCATAAGTCTTTCTTTCTTTCCTTTTTTTTCTCTCCCGCATGCTCCGAGTACAATCTTCATCTCGGTGCGGCTACTCAAGAAGAAACCGCAACACAAATATATGGAGAAAAACGATACGAAAATAAGATTACATGACATTTGGCACAAATGTGCAGCTAGAACAATGCTTTGCAATGGAATCCATTTAATTGTTTGTAGCAATATATATGAAAACAAAATGCCTATTAGACGACCGTTGCGTTTTCTTTCCACATTATGTGTTTTGTATATGTGTTCATTGTGTGCATTAACTACGAAGTGAGCCTACGTATGGCCTAAGCAGCGCGCATTGCATTGAGCAGTCAAGAACGCCATTTACCATAAGCTACACCTTTTTTTTCTCTTCTCCACATTCGTTTCAATTTCGCTTCCTCGTTTTGTTTGCTTTTTTTCCACCAACTTATGTTCCTTTTCAATTACACACCGTTTTCGTTGTTTGGTTTTGTTCATTTGGACGATTGTCGAACATTTTTGTTTATGTAATTGAGCTTGCGCTTATGCTTTTTTTCGTCGTAGCCGTTGTTGTTGTTGTTGTTGTGTGTGTGCGCGCGCATTGTATGCAATTCCTTTGTTTCATTCTTCTTTTAATTCAAAGCAAAATGCCAACAATTGCAAAACCAATTGGATTCCTATAATAATTGCTACACATCGCATAAATGGACCGAAAACTTGGCAATTTTCGTGTTTGACAAGCTGCAAACATTTGTTTGGTTCGTGCCCATTTGACGCTAATCAACTGCGAATTAACATTTGTTTTTTTTTTGTTATTTTGGCGAAGAAATTTGTTCGGTGACAAAATTGAATGAAACCAAACAAATCCGTATTGCAATTAGATACTTGTTGTTCCAGTGGAAAAAGATATGATTTCATCGGAAATGTGCTTATGGTTTTATGAGGTCAATAATTCCACGGTCAAATACATCTTGAGCTACGATGTGGAAAGTGCATTGGTGTGATAGAAGGAGTTTTTATACCGTAATATTAAATCATATCGTAGCAATTGCAGCAATTTTCACCAAACATATTGCTGTTGTAGTCAAACATGCCTGCAGATTGCTTTTCTCTGTGAGTTAAAAAAAACATTGATACATGAAACGGATTGCTCTTGAATTATATTCAATTCATTTCGTCTACAATGCCAATATAAAATATAATAAGAAAAGTCATGTGCCGTCAAATATTTTTCCTTGAAGTTGAAAGGAATGAAAGGAGAGAGAGAGAGAGAGAGATTGAAAGAAAAGAAGCATATTTATTCAATTTAGTTCCAATTAAAATTGGCTTATTTTACCAGTTTTAATAGACTGAATGAAAAAGTTAATTAGCCGACAGACGAAACTTTTCAGCTGCATTAAATAGCTGTTGTATCAAACATACACACACACGAAGCGAAGAAAAAAAAATCATAATTATATGTTGGCTGTGGCCAACGTTTTGCCAGACCGTACGCTAAATGCACTTTATTGTTGTGGTTTAATTGATAAAAGCATAAATCGCCGCACGCATTCATTCGCACATATTCGGGGCGCATTTTAATGCTATTGATGAGCTCCTTTTGGTTTGCATCACTTGTAACAAACAGCATTTAATGTAGTGAAATAAGAAAGTGATCTCAACTGCAAAGCCAAACAGTTTGAGGAAAAATAATACTTTTTTTTCTTGTGTCTGTGATAACGACCGTTATTTATGTGAAAATACCGAAAAATTTAATTGAAAGAACATGCACAATCAAAATGATGAGGCGACATTAGAATGGATAATGTTTCCATTTGATTTGCAGGAGTTGAAATGAACGTAATTCCATCCGTCATAGTCGCTTGGCAGATAATTATGACATAAGGTTCTAAGAATTCGGTCTTGAAATGCACTGCACTTTCGCCATCTCAATGCTGCCCGATCCAAGCGGACACACAATCTCTCTTTTCAACAAAATCATATTTCATTTTGCAGTGTGGTGTTGTTGGCTGCATTTAAAAATGACTCGCTCGTTTCTGTCTTCCGTGCCGCGTATATTTCTTAATGCCACCTTCTTGTGGTTGGCTTTTGTTTTAGTAGTTCTATGTGTTTGTTTATTAAATTTTTTTACTGCGCATAAAGTGTGTTCATCTCTGTTTTCTCTCATCCTCGCTCTCATTTGCGCTTCGTTTCGTTTGAAGAAATTCTAAGAGTGTATCCAAATGCCTGCGCGAACGGCTTCTTATTGCTTAAGATTATAAAGTGTTTTCTTCGTTGCCCATTTTTTTTTTGTTTCGTCTCTGTTTCTGTTCAGTTCTGTTGCGATGGAATGTTTTGTTTTAAGTTTTCATTAAGGTCTCTCTCGCTTGCGCACATGAGACGTCGTTCATTGTTGTATGTTT